TATATCAGCCATTAATGGCTGATATAGCTGCCAATTTACTGAAGTGGTTGAAAGTCCAAAACTTTATTAATGGGAAAATGATGAAGAAAATGCTGACTCAGCCTTCRTTTTACTTTAAACAAATCGGAATCTATCTTGTTTTATCTCAGCAAGATTTAACAAAATAAGTTTTTTTAACTTTTTTTTTGTGTGACACAAAAAAATGTTAACAAAATAAGGTTGAGAAATAATGAACCTAATCAAATCTCATTTTCAGTACCTTCATTTTTTGTACAATCCTTTTTTTATCATTATTTTTCTTATTATTCTTTATTAAATGAAAATCTTTGTCGATATCTCCTTGATTCCTCAGGAACTTGTTGTTAAAGATCAGTATTGTTGGAGTTCTGTGTTACTACTGGCTGAAAAAAGTTGCAGTGGAACCAGAAAATCCTCGTTTGCAGGTTACAACACCAAGTCCTTCATGTCTGCAAACACCTGAACACCTGACAGAAAAYGTTGTGAAACTCAGACTTCATTATTAAGTGTTTCACAAATTTAAATGCTGACTATGAATTATTTTCATGTTTATTTAGTGTTGGGAAGATTTTGTAGGACGAGAACTTTATCGCCTGCTCCTGATGGACTTCATTTTCACTGTATTTTACACGATTTTAGGGGAATTTCTCTGGAGGTAATTTTCCAGTAACCTCACTCAGCTTTTTTTTCCTCCAAAGTATTTAATCTTAATAAGCTGCCTTCTTTCCTTCAGGCTGTTCTCTAAGAAAATCCTAAATAGGAACAGGAAGCCAGTGTTTGACATTGCTCGGAATGTGCTGGAGCTCATTTATGGACAAACCTTAACCTGGTAAGTATACATTCCCTCACAGTTTTTTTTTTTTCCTTTTAAAATCTGTCAAATCTTCCAGAAACTGTGAATTCAGTTGCGTTTGGCTGTTGTGTTGCCAGGCTCGGTGTGCTGTTTGCACCGCTGCTCCCTGCAGTCCAGATCATAAAGCTGATTGTGTTATTTTACATGAAGAAGGTTGGTACAATTTGGCATAACATCATTATTTAACTGTATCCAAACAACATGACAAGAATTCTTTCATTTTTTGTATTTTTCTCTCCAGAGCAGTCTGATGCTCAATTGTCAGGCCTCCAAAAGGCCTTGGAAGGCCACTCAGATGACGACGTTGTTCATCACTCTGCTGTGCTTTCCGTCATTTCTAGGAGCCGCTGTGACTGTTGTGTATACAGTTTGGATGTGAGTGCAACATTGTTTCTCATCCTGCCTATGGTCCTCACAAGCAGTTTCACGAGAAAGGCAGCAAACAGACAAAATCAGCTGAAAAAAAATATAAATAAATAGTTGATTCAAATTCCATTAGATCAAAATGAACAAAACATTTTAAGTATTTTTTAAATTAAACAAGTTACAATAAAGAATGGTGGCATGGTGGCTCAGTTGGTAGAGCTGTTGTTTCTCAGCAAGATCACCAAATCAAATTCCGGCCTGGGGACCTTTCTGGGTAGTTTGCATGTTGTCTCTGTGCATGTGTGGGTTTTCTCTGCAGGTTTCCTCCCACAGACCAAAAACATGACTGTCAACTTAACTGGTAACTCTAAATTGTCCCTAGGTGTGAGTGGGACAGTGAATGGTTGTTTGTCTCGTTTGTCTCTATGTGCGTCCCTGTGATGGACTCGCAACCTGTCCCAGGTGTACCCCGCCCCTCGCACTGTGACTGCTGGATATATGTACACCAGTGATCCCTGTGACCCTGAAAGGAAGAAGGGGGTATAGATAATGGGTTGATGGGCAATAAAGACTATTCTTATTGAACATATGCACATATTGACATGCTTAACAATGTAATACTAACAAGATAGTGCTTCAAAAATACAATATAATACACACGTTTTCAGGTTTTTTTGTTTACCAGAAAGGATAAAATAAAAAAAAATAATTGAAATAAAAAAATCAATAAAGGTCACCCCCCCCACCCACACACACACACACACACACACATCTCACCAACACAAAAACCTCATATGCGCATATACGTAACAAATGCACACCACAATGACTGTGACAGGCACATTCAGTTGGGCTAAACCTCCAAGTTTGAAAAATAAGAAATAAAACCTTGCCATTTTTTGTCCATTTAAAATATATTTATTTTTCTCAAATTTTCGAATACTACGTCTTTAAGCCACAGAGATACCGAGGCACATTTATCAGACTTCTATTGTAACAAGAAAGTTTTGCAATCAAAGGTGTAACAACTTTGTAATATGTGGAAACTTTACATTTAGTAAAGAAATGTGTGTTTGGTAGATTACTGGGTATTATGAATCTTATACTGGGCACCTGATTGACAGTACCTGGAGGTACCAAATGCTCAAAACAACAACAGAGATGTTCTTTACAAAGGAAAATAACATGCTTTCCAACGGTATGAGATTTATTGCCAAGAATCATTGCTACAACAAAGAAATATTGATAATTGATAAATGGAATGAACTTAAATTGTGCTTTATCAAGCCCCATGGGGACCCCAGAGAGTTTAACAGTCTTTCACGCATTCACACACTGAATGCATCTAAGCTAAGTATGACTCTCCTTTCCATAGGATGAAACCTTCATCAACATGCGGCCCCTTCCGGAACCTAACCAGAATGTTTCAGGCCGGATGGTTGTGGGCCGAGAAGCTGAAGAACTCTCACCAGGTTCTGGCCTGGCTCAGCTGGGCCTATGACTCCCTAATAGAGAATCCACTCTTCTTATTCCTACCCACTGGCATCTTTCTGTGAGAGMAAATTAAGCTTCTTTTTATTTGTATTTTGTTGTTGTTCTTGCTGCTGTTTAACGATCTCTGGTGTTTTTGTGTTTCTTGGTCTTCAGATTGGTGATCTATTTTCACGTTCAAGTGGTTGATGGCCAAAGGAAAATCATCAGTCAGTTAGAAAAGCAAATTGAAAATGTATGTATAAATTTGGTTTGGCTAAAATCTGATGAGATTATGTTTGACTGAAGCCAAAGTCTGGCTTTTTTTTCACTGATTCATCTGTCTGAATGTTTTCTGCCTTAAACTGATTCTCTGATGATAACTTTGACTGTTTCCTAAAACCTGATCTCCATTTTCTTCTCGTGGCTTTTTCACCCTCAAACATTTGTGGCCAGAATGGGGCAAAAAGCAAAAACAAACGTTGGGATATTTAAATCAGCCACCTAAGTATGACTGTTCTGGTGCATTTGGAATTTAGAAAACTACATTGCAAGTATGCATTTATTTATATAAAAAATAAAGGGATAGTCTGATTATTTTTAAAATGATGTTTTGCCACGTGTGTTGTCTTATACCTGTCATGTGACAATCTTTTAGGCTAGACTCATTTACACGTGTGGCATGCCTTGAGGAAGACTTCCTTCTCCCAATGCTTCCTGATCTGTAACTGATGACTCAGCTGATAAGGAACTCACTGATAACTATTTGATGCAACATTGTTTTAAAAATAACCGGACTCCCCCTTTACAGCTTTACGACATTTCCAGAAATATGAAAATCCTTCCTGATGATAAACAGGAAGGAACAAACAAAATTACACTTTTTACATTATTATTAAAAACTAGAAGGCCAGGCTAGTATAAGATTCTGTGATAAAATAGCTCAAATATTAACAAAATCATAATTTCATCTTTAAAATGTGAAAACTTCTACAGATTTTAATCTTTATTTAAAGGGATTCCTGATTAGTTGTAACATTAGACTTTATTT